CTCAGCCCAGTGCTTGGCTGTGGATCTCTGCATCTCCTTCCATTAGTTACTGGGTCTATGATGACAATTAGGGTAGTCACCAATTTGATTACAAGGCTAATTCAGGCACCCTCTCCACATTGCCAGGAGTCTTAGCTGGGGTCATCCTGGGTATTTCCCTGGCACTAGGAGAAACATGCTTGTCTATAATTCCCCCTTCTATAAATATGTCACCTCAAGACCAGCCTCATCTACGTGAGAGGCTGTGTTATTTTAATGTTAGTCCAGCAGGGGATGCCAAATCACCAGGAATGTTTCTGAGGCGCTCTCATGACCACGGGGAGAAGAATCTCTGAAAGCTCAGTTCGCTTGGTCCTTCTTGATGAATATGGGTGTGATGAGTGTGTGCTGTCATGTGTATGATAGGTGTGTGTGTATGTATTTATGCATGGTGTGTATACTGTATGTGAATGCTTGTGTGTATCATGTGTACATGAGGGTGTACTGTGTGTGCATTGTATGTGTGTGCCTGGTGTACATGTGTAGACACATGGCAGATGTGTCTAGTTCAGGGAGAGTACCAGGCAGTTGCTGCGTGTTTCTCTCAGGGGAAACGTGATGCTGTCTCGTCACAATGTCTTCTTGGAGCTGAGTGTGTAGGACAACTTGCTTCCTTAAACATTTAGGAGGAAGATCAATTGACTGGGCACAGAGACTTGAGCTGGGAAGTTGGTACAGACACAGGAGGGCTCGACCTGACAGGCCTGAGGGTATAGATGTCCATATGCATATGTGAGAGGAGTGGCCATTCCTGTAAGAGCAACAGCTGGACTCCTTTGTGGCCTCACTGTGGGGCCACTGTGGGACCTCCTGTCCGGGATAGCTGTAAGCATTTTGACAGCTCGGATGCGATGGACAGGGACTCTGGCACTCAGATGTCAGAATACTGAGTGTTACAGCTCAGAGGGAAAGGTGTTCTGGCACTCAGGGGCCAAGGAATACCACAGTCACAGTAAGCATAGCAGCTTACAGCCCCGCTTCAGGGAAAGACTTCCCCAGTGCACCAGCTCTGCTCCGGCAGGAGAGGGTTTCCGGGGAAGTTGTTACAGTTAGGCCCTGGTCCCAGGGAGACAGGAATGTAACAACTTCACTTTGCAAGCTCGACTCTAGTTGTCTCAGTCTCTACTCCAGCAAAAGCAACGAAAGACAGTCTGACCCAAACCTCATTCAAGAGATTTATTGGGAGGGAAGAATCCAGGAGAGTGGCTGTCCTCTGCCAGGGTGGCAGAGGACAGCCAGAGAGGCCAAACAGACACAGGGTGAACAGACATGGGGTTTATATAGGGATTCTTAGGGCATGGAGTTTCCCCGGGAGATTTCCAGGGTGGGGATTGGTCAGATTTCAATCCTTGAGCTCAGACTGGTAGATCTCCTGCTCAGTGATGGTTGGTTTTCTGCACAGGTTTGGGGTCAGATTTGGCTCTGGTTTCAGGATCAAAGTGTGTTTCTTTCACTGGTCCTTTTTAGCCTTTTGGCTCTAATTTTAGGACCAGGGTGTATTTCTTTCACTGGCTCTGATTCCAGGGACAAAGTGTGTTTCTCTGGCACTGGTTTCAGGGTCAGGGTGCATTTCTTTGGCTCTGGTTGCAGGGCCAGAGTGTGTTTCTGTGGCTCTGCTCAGGGTGTGTTTCTTTGGTTGGTCCTTTTCCCTTACAATAGCTCCAGGAGCTCCTTGTCATGTTCTTTATTGTTTCAACATGCTATTGCCCTCAGAATGATGGCCTCAGCTGATGGCCAACATCCCCATCACTTACAAGGCATCCACCCCACAAACATTCTGACTTTAGGCACCAGCCAAGGGGCGTTGCCATGTCTCACTTCCCCAAGCCCACTGTTCTGCCAGGACAACTCTTCATCTCTAGTGGGTTAGTTACCTCGCCTACCCAAAACCCATGGAGGAAACTTGTCCTGCCCTAGAGTGTGAGTCACATTGTCTTAGCATTGCCCAAGGCCTGCACTCGACCATGTCTCTGGTGGATCTGGACCATCAGCTGAGCTCTTTGCCCTAGGGCTGCCATATACAGCTTGGGTTTTCTCTAAAAGAAGCCATCCCTACCAAGCATTTAGCAAGAAAATGAGGGCTCCAAACTGGTTAGTCTTAGCCCAGGCCTCTCCAGCACTTGCTGCCATCAGAGGTGCCTGGTTCAGGCTAAGAGTCAGGATGTTGTGGGAGAACATTGAGAGTCTGTGACAATAGCGACCCCCCCCCCCCGCATTTCCCCAGCCTGCTTTTCCACAGAATTCTAGGAGGGAATTCTGTCTCTCATCCCTGTATCTTATGGCCACAGGATCTCTGTGGGTGGACTGCCAAAAGCTCCTGGCTCTGACTGTTCATGCTTGTCCTCCTTACCTCACTTGACACTGCTGGGGGCCCAGAGGTCAGCATCTGGGCATTATGAGAATATGCAGCAGGGTCTGGAGAATCGGGGAGAGAGGAGCAGGTGGCTCCAGGTGGAGGAGACAGGTCTTTGCAGATGGGGTACATGTGCAGCCTACCCAGCGCTTGCGGCCAGGAGGGAGGGGGTCGGGAAGAGCAGGGTGGCCCCTGTGCCAGGAAGGCTGAATGGTGGTTGTGGCACTGACTCTCACGGCAACTGTTCCTCACAAACCTGTATTAAATCAGCCTGTAGGTAGCTGCTCTCCTACCCTGTCCCGCAGAAGTGACATAGGGACAGAGGCCCTTGAGGGGATGCCCGGGGGCGTTGGGCAGCCCTGTGGAGCTGAGGTGGTCTGACTCACCTCTGTGGGCTGGACAAGGGTGCTCACAGCAGAACCAGCAAGCACTTCCTGCACAGGCCAAGGAAGAAACAACAGCTGCCCTGAGCTGGTGCCCACAGGTAGCTGGTGCTTGCTTAGGTGGCATCTCTGCAGGCCCACCTGAGCCATGTACTGGTCATTGTTGACCCACAGGCAAGCTGGTATGGAGTCTGTCTTCCTGCTTCAAGTCTCCGGGTTGTGGGACAATTAACCTAAACTTCCTGGTAAGTGTGGCCTGCTGGGATGTGGGGTGGTGTGTGTCTCTCTGGGTTAACCTGTTGGTCCTGATTAGTGCCTGTCCTCTTTGGCATAGGGGACAGGCTCACTGACCTTTGGGTGGGGGGCATGGGTGTTGACCCTTCTAGAACTGTCCTACACTCCCTCAGGCAGAAGCAGGATGACTAGTCAATCTTAATTTTAATTAAAGTTTGTTGTTGTTGTATTAAGCTCAGGTCTCCTAGTCTTTCTCCGTTAACTGGATTTTTCAAAATGTTATTATTTTTTTCTTTTTTTGAGACAGGTCTTGGCTGTACTAGAGCTCACTCTGTAGACAAGGCTGAACTCACAGACAACCACCTGCCTCTGCCTCCTGGGTGCTGGGATTAAACACCACCGACCTGCTACTTTAAGTTAATATTTTTTCATCTTAAAGACTTATTTAGTTTATGCGAATGGATGTGTACATTGTGCATGCAGCACCCTCAGAGGCCAGAGAGACAGAACTGGATTCCACCGAGCTGGCTACAGATGACCACCGCCTGCACTCTGGGAACCAAACCCAGGTCCTCTGAAAGTGACCTTAAGCCACTGAGCCATCTCTCCAGTCCCAAACCAGTTCAAGTTCTTTGTTTTTATTTTCATGTGTTGTCTCCTCGAATCAATCTGGTTTGGAGCAGAATCTTCTCAGTCAAAATTCACTGAAAGTTGTAAAGTGAGCCCTTCTAGGCCAGGAAAGGTCAGCTGGGCTCAGTGATGGGGGAAGTAGCTGCTGCCTAGAGAGGAGAGTGCTTGTCTAGGTGCTTCCCAGGTCTGTGCCTTAACTTTCCGACAGACCGGCATGGCTTCTCTAAGGGCTCAGTTCACCTGTGTCCCAGCACTGGGCAAGCAGGAAGCTGTTCTGGGGCTGAGAGTGACAAATGTGATCTGTTTTGGTTAAGTGACCTGTGGTGAGAGGAATTGCGGCCCTTTCTCTTCTTTGCATCGGATGCTTCCAGAAGCCAGGCCCTTGAGGGACTCCAGTTTGCTCCAGGGTTAGCTCTCTCTCTCTCTCTCTCTCTCTCTCTCTCTCTCTCTCTCTCTCTCTCTCTCTCTGTGTGTGTGTGTGTGTGTGTGTGCATTGCCCCCAGCCCAACGACAGCTCTTCACCGAGTCTAAAACTGCTGCCTCTCCTCAGTGTGGCTGGAGAATGAATGCTTCATACTGAATGCTTGCTCCTGCGTTTTATACCTCTTTAGTGCTGGGATTAAAGGCGTGGGTTACAATTCTCTTTTAGATTGATGCACTCTTGTGTAGATCTGGGTGGCTTTGGACTCACAGAGATTGGCCTGCCTCTTAATCCTGAGTCCTAGGATTAAAGCTTCTGGCTGCTGGGATTGAAGGTGTATATCACCACTGCCTGACCGCTGTAGCTTGAGGTTCACTTTGCTTTTCTGAATCCCCAGCCAAGCTTTAATAAATCATAAATAAACACATCCCTACACAGGGCTCTCAAACTTGTCTCTGCTTACATTTATGTGCTTCTCTTACAGGGGTCCCAGATGGACACTGGGCTCCTTCCTGCAAGGCTGAACCCCAAGTTTCTCCAAATCCAGCTTCTTCCTGCAAGGCTGAATCCCAAGTTTCTCCAAATCCAGCTTCTTGTCTATCTTCTTCCTGTCCCCTGCCCCATCAACCTGTATGTACTGCATCCCATCATTTTCCCAGCTTGCTCCCCAGTTTGACTCTAAGGTCTGAATCTAGTTCACCCCCAGACTAAACTGCAGTCTTCTGGTCAGAACCCCTTCCTAGTCCCGTCACCCCGGACTCGGTCTCCCATCCGGACTCACTCTATCTTCCTCTGTTCCAGTACAGACCCCAGGAGCCTCACAGGCATCTGTCCCCACCACCCGCCCCTCCACGGTAAGGCTGAGGATTCTGGGCTGAGCCTGGATTCTGAGGGAGTCAGGGGCGGGATGGAGGCGTGGCCTAGAATAGAGCTCTCGGCCCCGCCCCGCCCCGCTCCGCCCCATGCCTCCTACCTCTGTGTGCTGCTGCAAGCCCGGAACATCCTAGTTGGCTATGGAGACCCCCGCGCGGCCGCTGCACCTTCTCCCCCTGTTACTGCTGCTTTGTGGTAAGGAGGCACTGGCTTGGGGGTACTCCATCCCTTCAGGGCCTTGGGACCCACAGGACTCTCATCTTCCCGCGTCGAGCCTAGGCTGCGCCGCCTTTTTAACCAGAGTTTGGAAAGGACGCACACTGAGTTCAGCTCAGCTCGCAGGTTTTGCTGAGGGTCCTCTTGACTCCTCCACCATTAGAGGAGCCGCCGAGGGAAAAGGACTTGGGCTGCAAGGGACGCATAAGGTCCCCTGCGGGGCTGTGATGTCCAGGTGCCTAGGGAAGGGTCTCAGGTGAGGTCTCCCATCCTGCCCTGCGCACATGACACACAGGTGCTGGTGGCTAGAATTCCTAATTCTTTTCCAGGGAGAAACAAGGGCTCAGGGAGAAACATTGCTCTCACAAAGTAGAAATGGGATAACTATCAAGCTTGTTTTGAAAGGGGTGGGAAGGGCATAAAGTTGGTAGGGAGACATGTTGAGGGAGCCTGTGGGGAGCTTGATGGAGGAAGGAGGGTGGGTATGATCAAAATGCATTGGATATATATATATATGTATATATATATATATACATATATATATATCCATATGTATGTGTATGTGTATGTATATGTATATACACACACACATATAAAAATCAAAGAATAAGAATATTATTAAAATACTAAAAAAAGAAAAACAATGAAGTATTTTACTGAAGAAATTACCCAAGGATAAATAAGAAGGTACATTTTGCCAGGTGGTGGTGGTACACACCTTTAATTCCAGAACTTGGGAGGCAGAGGCAGGTGGATCTCTGTGAGGCCAGCCTGGTCTACAGAGTGAGTTCCAGGACAGCCAGCGCTAACAAGGAAACCCTGTCTTAAAACAACAGCAACAACAACAACAACAACAAAGAGGGTATGTATGTGTGTATGCTTGTGTGCACACATGTATGTATGTGTCTGTACCCTGAGTGTGCATGATTGTGTTTGTGTGCCTTTGGGCGTGTGTGTGTGTATGTGTGTGTGTGTGTGTGTGTGTGTGTGTGTGTGCCTTTGTGAGGACTTCGGTGGGAGAGTTTGTCAAGGTCTGAAGCTGCTGGGCAAGGCCAGTGCCTGGCTAAAGCTGTGAGGAAAGCTGTTGGCAGGAGGGTGTGTGGGGTCTGTCTCCAGGGCTACGGCCCTTGGGTCCTTTAGGATGTTTTCCTTCCCCCTCTGGCTCATCCTCCTTGGCTGTAAGATGAAGATGGACTTGTTTGCAGTATCACCCTCAGCATTGGTGACTTGGGATGTGGTCTGGGAGTTGGGACAACGATGGGGCAGACTCAACAATTAGTTCTCTTCCCTTGAAGAGGCCTTTGGGTACAGAGTGGGGCTGTTTCATGCTTTAGAATGGGTGCTTAGGCTGCGGTGGAGTTTCATGTTAAGGGCTGGGACTATGGTCTATTCCAGAAGTCAGTGTGCTGTTCTGGGGTTTCGGCAACCTCCGATGCAAGGCTCCTCTGATGGGGATTTTGGTGTCTAAGGGAAAGAAGATCCTGAGTTTATTTGGAAGGAAACTGTGTTTCTTCTGATCGCTTCCAGTGTGGGACTGAGAAGTACCATAGCCAGAAGTCATATGAAACCCTCATTAGTTGTCCTGGTCTCCTAGGGTCACTGTCCCCAAGGGCCACCTTCCTATCCTACTTTGTCCCCACTGTCTTCCTCACCCAGGGGCCAGGCAGGACAGGTTTAGCCTCCTCACAGACTTTAACTAGTGTGAGTCTGGCCAGACCAAGAGTCCAAGGTGACACGTGTACTGTCACATACAGTGAGGCCAAGGTGAGGGTCTGAGCCACTCCCTTCTGGAAGGGAGTAGCTGAGCTTTCTGGCTCCTGGGAACACTGGCTATCTGTGCTCTGCTGACACCATGATGTCTGGCACTGTCATTGGGCTGTAGAGTCAGGGTCTGGTCAGGACAGGGCAGCATCAGGAGAACCACAGTTTCCAAACGAAAAACCCGAGCCTGTGGGGTTTCCTTGAAATTCTAAAGCACCTTATAGGGAACCTTCCAGCAGGTGTCCACTTATTGGCTCTAGGCCTCAGTCTCCCTAACCACAGCATGGGAGCAGTGCTGTGTTGGTTGAATTGACTCAGGCCAGTCGCTACGTGCTGTGGAGTTAAAATGCAGAGGATGTGCCTGGTGCACATGCTCTCACGGCACTGTGACAGAGATACCCCGTGATCTGTGTGCACACGTGTGCATGTCCATGAGTGTGAACGTGGTTCCACATTTCTTCCTTCCTTCCTTCCTTCCTTCCTTCCTTCCTTTCTTTCTTTCTTTCTTTCTTTCTTTCTTTCTTTCTTTCTTTCTTTCCAATGTCTTTATTGGCTCATTCCTTTTTAAACTTGATGTGTATTGACGTGAAGGTGTCAGATCTCCTGGAACTGGAATTACAGACACTTGTGAACTACTATGTGGGTGCTGGGATTTGGACCCAGGTCCTCTGGAAGAGCAGCCTCTCTCCAGCCCTCAGTGACACAATTTTTCCATGAGTTGTAGTAATGATGCCCTGCTAGTGTGTCACCTGTCACACTGATCTTGAGCTGAGTAGGTGGCAAGCAAGCAGTGCTAGCGACTTGAAGGAGGTGGTTTGTTAAACACAGCCATAGAATTTGTAGCACTGGAGCTGCCTTGGAGGTCATTTGGCCCTCTCCCGTTAGAGATAAGGGAATGGAGACAGAGGGATAGGGGACAGAATTGCCCAGAAAGTGCAGACACCCCCCCCCCCCAAGTGTGGCCTTTGGGTCCCAGTCTGGCTCACTCATGGAGGATAAGAGTGCTTGGTTTCATTTCCCGATGACTGGCAACAAAAGACCTTTCTCTAGGAAATGCATCTGTTTGGCTATTTATCATCTCTCAGCATCTGGAAGTCACCGAGACAAAAGACGCACAGGCCTAAGTGTTCTTTGGTTCTGAATGGAACCATCCAGAATGGATTTCTACTTTGATTCAGTTCCCAAGAGCTTTACAGATCTGCCGGTGGTTTGAGTGGCACTGGCCCATTTTCAGGGTATCCCAGGGGTTGTGCCTGTGATTCACAGGTGCCTGTCTAGGGTGGGTCCAGAGCACTTTCACAGTATTCCTGAGGTGGGGAGTTATGTCAGCAGGTCTGCCTGAGGGTGACATGCAGTCCTCTGTGACATTTCACAACTACATGGGACAGGGTCTTGCTGCGTCATGTTCAGAGGGGTTCAAGGACAAACAAGGATTTGGGAACAGGCAAAGATTCTAGAGTTCACAGTAATTCTGGGGGTATTTGGAGACCCTGGGATTTTCAGAGATCTGGGGCACATGGAGATTTTGGGGTGTGTGGAGGTTCCGGAGCATGTGAGTGTTATGAACCATAGAGATTCTGGGGTGCAGAGAGGCCAAGGACACACAGGTTCTGGTTGTGTGGCATTTCTGGGGTACATAGAAATTCTGAGATAGGTAAAGCTAGAACATGTGGAAAACTGGGGTGCACAGAGATTCAAGGCAGAGCTGGGAGAGAGGTGCTGTAGGAGACTCTCCACTCCTTCTGTCTGGGGGTTGGGTCTGCTTGGCTGAGTGTGGTAGAGCCCCAGAGGAAGGGCTGAACAAGCCTGTTCTGACCAGACATGGTGTGTGTGTGTATGTGTGTGTGTGTGTGTGTGTATATATGTATATATGTGTGTGTGTGCTTATGTATGTATGTATATATGTGTGTGTGTTTGTATATGTATGTATATATGTGTGTTTGTGTGTGTATGTATATGTGCATGTATGTGTATATGTGTGTGTATTTGTGTGTTTGTGTGTATATGTGTGTGTGTGTGTATGTGTGTGTATTTGTGTGTATGTGTGTGTGTATATGTGTGTGTGTATTTGTGTGTGTATGTGTGTGTATTTGTGTGTATGTGTGTGTATATGTGTGTGTGTTTGTGTGTGTATACGTGTGTGTGTATGTGTGTGTATGTATACGTGTGTATGTGTGTGTGTGTGTGTGTGTGTGTGTGTGTGTGTGTATGATGGATGGGAAGGAAATCTGTCACCTTTCACCTGCCTCCTAGGATTCTGATTCACTCTAACTTCCAGGGTGAAGAGAAGGAAGGAAGCAGGGAAAGAGAAGAGGACCAAGGGGCAGAAGAGAAGGTTGGGGAGGAGGTTGGGGAGAGGGAGAGAGGAGGAGGACTTGGTGGTCTGACAGCTGGTCCTCAGGGCAGACTGAGGGGGCTGTGTTGTGTTCAGGTCTAGGAGGGCCAAGAGAGGCATGTGGGTTACCAGAGCATGTGGCTAGTGGGGCTTGCATGGCTGGCATCTATTCAGCTCTTGTGTGGAGGTCAGCACCTGTGTTAATGCACTGAGAGGATCCCACCAGGGATTGATAACGCCAGATCCAGGAGTAAGACTGGCGCTGGATGTGGTTAGTAAGCATCAAGGGGATTTTCAGAGTCCAGGGCTGGGAGCCTGTCTGTGAGATGCAGGATGGAACAAGGGGACCTGAGGGAGAGAGGAGCATGGTGTGTTCACCATCTCCTGTGGACACGCGGTCCCTGAGGGCCTGCCCTGTCATGGAGCAGGGCAGCTTTCATAGCTTTGTACTGTCAGGCTTGGCACGTGCAGCCGAGCAGGAGAGAGATGGCATCTTAGATGTCCCTAGAACAGGCGCTCACTCTGCGTTTGGTCCTAGATAAGTCGCTTTACTTGTAGGCCTTGGTCTCTCCATCATCTAACTGGAGGGGGCGGAGGAATGGTGCTTTTTTGAGATCAATAGACCGAGGAAGGTGGAGAATGGGGGGTTGAGGTGGGGAACTGGCGTCTGGTTCAGAGACACTGAGGCTCAGTGACCAAGTGTGTCAAGACCTAAGTGAACAGGCAGGGTTGCTGCCTGCTGCTTTATGCCTTACTCCTACAGCCTGGTCCTCAGACCTACAGATGGGCATCTTCTGGGGCTTGTCAGAGGTGAAAGTCTGATCCAAGAGTGTTGGAGGGGAATGGGTACTGCATGAGGCCTCTGGGCAATGGGCCTGTACAC